TCTCCATCATCGATATTTTCTGAAGCTGTCTAATACAAGTACGAAATAACATTAACAGACATAATAAACATGTTTCTTTTTAATTGATCCGTTATTGCTTGTTATTGCCTTCGATTCAGAGCTCGATATATACTGCATAACTTACTGGATCAAGAGGATTGTGGTCACGGGGGAAGTATGGAAACATTTGAATGATGTTACATGTTCTCTTATAGAGGGAATTGTGGGTGTGAAATATAAACAGACAATCGGAGTCAAGTTAACATCTAGTTAATTAGTAAATAATAAAACTTAATCATTAAAAGGACGTAAAAAATGAAATCTTGTACGTGCCACGTGCGTTAACTGATTCTAATGATCGATATTTCTAATGATCGACGAAAATTGCGAGTGCCTTTGGCCCGACGTTGGTGCATACATAATGTCCTTGATGCATAAATAACTATTTTGTTTTTAATTAAAACCTTCTTGGTGTCTTTTAAAAACACATTTTTTATGTTGACTTAGGAATGGAACAATCTCTATTGCCCCAGATATCTCCAGTTACCCCACTCCACATTTATTGTTATCATGAAATCTGTAAGTAGTATGTTTTATCTTGCTTTGTCTGTATTAACCAGCTTTTTAAGTTTTTAACGAATATTACGCGTTATGGGGTTTTCGGCGGTAAGTTTACCAAAGTCTCGTGAGGATCAAGAAACCTTAACAAAGCATATGTGTCCCTTGTTGAAATGCAAATAATTGTTTTTGTTATGATCAAATTACATAATATATGTATGAGTGTGAGTGAGTGAGTACGTAGTGGAACATTTTTACAAAAACTCCTCATAAATTATTCAAATCCCAAGATGTTATGCTAAATCCTTCACATGTTTTAATCATTACTACGTGAGGTAAATAAAATGTATTGGTTCAGTTTTCGCGAACAGCTATTCTTCCTCATCAAAATGTGATCCAGACATTTGATTTTACGGTACAATATCATCGCTTCTCCGTTCACACAGTATCATCGCTTCTCCGCTTACATACTTTAACTGTGCTAATTTCTGATACCCACTGAACAGAAACACCATACACAATTGAATTATTCTTTATCTATTTTGTGATACCACTCCAACTACCAGACACCTGCACACTGATTTTTTATCTCGCTGATTTTTTTATCGCTTTTGTCGGTATATATAACAAGGTCACGCTATTACGTCATTACAAAAGGCCATATGTTGATGCGAGTAGCTCGAAGATAAGAGACTTATGTTACATGTACTTTGTTACATAACTCAAAACACGTTAATAAAGTACCAAGCATATGAGAATGTTAATGCAAAACTGTAATTTTGAGGGGAAAATTTAATTATCAATCGAAATTTTTAATTGGCTCACAATTTGGTGATGTTTCACCATCAATAATGACGTGAAAAACTTATGAACCTTTTACTGACATTTAAGTGGTCAGGTCTGCACGCAGATATAGCAGAAATGGCTCAAGTTTAATACTCCCACGTTAATCATGTTCAAAAATAAATTGTTTTATTTGCTAAGATTAACATTCAGCCCAACATTTGGACTGAATCAGTTAAATAGTTAAAGCAATAGTTTTGTTTAATAAATTGCTTGATATTTATCGATACACTTGGACATGAAATTCGACATAGCCTTGGAGTAAGTGTGGCAACAAACATCGGTGCAAATGTGGTGTAAAATCTTACACATCAACTGTAAACAACGTGTGCCTCCATTCTTGCATATACACGTAATCCAATTGAAGCCAGAAAGATTCTTTCAAGTGAGAAGAGTGAGTATGGGTAATGAGGATGGTGTGTAATGTTGACAGTCAGACTGTAATTCATTGTTCGTCCTCACCTCTTGACCTTCCTTCCCGTTGTCTCGTTCTGTTATTGCCCGTCACTGCCTTCTACGTGTCTTGTAAGTCTAGGAGTCAGTGTAACTTGATATATCAGCTAATAACCAACATTGTTGAAGTGTGTTTTTGACATTAGACAAAAATTGATTTATATGACATTGTGTTTAACTACACTTTATTCATTCAAACCTTAACACTCTACGTTGTGAATTAAGCACTTCTTTAGTTCATAAATCTCTTACTATGTAAACAGCTATCAGTGTATTCCACCAGCAGTAATTCATAAACGTGTAGATACCATTGTCGTTTTCTGCAAGTGTTCTTCGCCTTCATAGATCTCTACGTCATTGGGCCGATAAATAACAAATAGCAGACGCAGTTGATGTTTATAAAAAGTGGCAATAGCCGACACTTTTAACCGAACTAGTTTATTTGTTTGTCATCCATGTGTCGTTCAGTTCTTTTCTTTTGCGTCTTCTAATAAAAAGAAAATATATAAACATGAAATAATATTTCTTGGAATGATAATCCACCTTTAGCTACAACGATTTTGCTTCAAATTCTCTTACTAGACGCTGGGATTTTAGAGCAGCTTTTCTTTCCTCTGGTTGCGTTAAAGAGATTGATTAATTAGTGTTGCCAGGTGCGTCAACTGCTATGGTCATTAGTCCCGTAAATAGATTAGTCCCGCGTGTTTTTATCGTGGACCGTGGCGGCGATATTTCTCCGCTGGAAAGGCGAGAACCGGCGCTGACCTACCGCCGGATAGCGGGGTTTTCTCCAACCAGGTATCTCCCACCAGCGGGGCACC